TTGTGATGTGTGGGGGGTAAAGTTTTGTGCGGAAGGCGGGGGCGCGGCTGTGTAGTGTGGAGGCTCTGGGCAGACTGGTGGTTTCAGGGTGTCAAGAGTCAGTTCTGGGCGAGCGCAGCAGAGTGCATGAAGGAAACCGGGAGCAGGGAGAGTTGGCGGGCTTAAACTCTGGACTGTGCGAGCAAACCTCACCTGCATCTTGGAATCTCTCTCACCCCCTGTCTCACTTTTTGGGAATAGTGGGAAAGCTTGCTGTTCCTTGGGATGGAGCGTGGATGGGACGGTGTTTCATATGCTGGGATGTGTATTCTGGGTGTTCTGTCCGTGCTCTCGTCGGCGCTAAACGGAGTTTGGGGGTTTAACTTTTACGCAGAGCATCCCACAGTTTATAGGGGACCCGATGGAAGTTACTTCGGTTATGCTGTGGACTTCTACCAAGCTACCGCCGACAGCAACACGTGAGTGGCAACATCAGGGCTGAAGCTGTCCTGCAGAAGTTCTTCTTAAACTGTACCTGTACAAATTCAACACATTGCCTAACACTAATACTAATAAAATAAAGAAGAAGAGTGATGGGGGGAATAATGAAAATCCATGAGCGTCATTATCTGTCTTACCTCTGACAGATTAAGGAAAACAGAGTAAAAGGACCTGCCATGTATGAGAGTTTATGCATTGTTTGAAGAGTACATTGTCTTGCATGTGTCTTGGTTTTTCTTTTGCCTATTAGGATCAGTGTGCTGGTTGGGGCTCCCAAAGCCAACACCTCCCAGCCCGGCATCGTAGAGGCTGGAGCCGTTTATTACTGCCCCTGGCCTGGGCTGCCTGAGAGCTGCAGACAGATACCCTTTGACAACTCCAGTGAGTTACCTGAAGCCTGTTTTCTCTCTGTCTTTCTCACTGACCTGAATAAACATGAGGTAGACTGCTGGTTTCTTTGCAGTAAATAGAAAGGATTACCCGTTTGAGCTGGACAAACCGTGAACCTGTCACAGTCATTGTTTCATGAGTTCTCATATAAGTGTTTTATTTAATACCAGAGATGAAATTGAACCATCATTTATTTCACTTGTAATAATTCCTTTTAGAATCATAGGTGGCCCCAGATGTTACTGGAATTGAAACCACTGTTTTATAACCTGTGTGTGTCTGTTTAAGTTGGCGCAAGTGTTATTGGATGAAAAGAGAGAGAGATGAGACATGTGGGTCTCATCAGCTTCCTGTAACAATAAAAAAAAGGAAAAAAAAGTATGGCAGGTTTGCTGGTGGATTTCTTCATCATGTTGATTATGGTATCCAGTATATTATCAACAGTGGTGTCCAATCAACTTTTGTTGGTGGGTCTAATGTTTCTGACACACGCTTCTCTATCTGAGTTGGCATGTGTGTGTGTGAGAGAGAGAGAGAAAGAGGGAGAGAGAGAGGAGGGGGTAAACTGAATGCACATGGGAATTTAGTTTCCCTTCGGAAGAAAGGGGGATTGGGCGAGGTCTGCTTTTTATTAGATCTTGAAAATGTAACCCTGTCTCCTTTCCCTCCCCTCCATCAGTCTGTCCTTCTCTCTCTCTCTCTCTCTCTCTCTCTCTCTCTCTCTCTCTCTCTC